TTGACTCCCTCTTCTTTGTGGCAGCCCCTAAGATATTGGAACACTGCTATCATGTCCCCCCTCGTCCTTCTCTTTGTTAAATTAGACATACCCAATTCCAGCAGCCGTTCCTTATATGTTTTAGCCTCCAGTCCCCTAATCATCTTTGTTGCTCTTCTCTGTACTCTTTCTAGAGTCTCAACATCTTTTTTACATCGTGGTGACCAAAACTGGATGCAGTATTCCAAGTGTGGCCTTACCAAGGCATTGTACAGTGGTATTAACACTTCACGTGATCTTGATTCTATCCCTCTGTTAATGCAGCCTAGCACTGTGTTGGCTTTTTTGGCAGCTGCAGCACACTGCTGGCTCATATTTAAGTGATTGTCCACTAGGACTCCAAGGTCCCTCTCGCAGTTACTACTATTGAGCAAGGTACCCCCTATTCCAGTGATGGCGAACCTTTTAGAAACCGAGTGCCCAAACTGCAACCCCAAACCCACTTATTTATCGCCAGGTGCCAGGTGGGCGTGGCCCATTGGGTGGCTGTGGCTGTGGTGGTCATGGCAGAATGGGTGGGTGTGGCCAAGCTGGGCGTGGTCACCTTGATGTTCCTCGTGGGCAGGGACTCCTGTGGGGGCCGGACAGGGTTGGGGGAGGTCCAGGGGGTCTCTGGTGGGTGGGACAGTGGGCAGGAGGCTCGTCCTGCAGGGTGAGGGGAGGCGAGGCAGGGCAGGGGTGCCATTGTCGCAGGGCAAGGCAATGCAGAGGCCAGGCGGCTGCTGCCTGACACCATCGGCCCCCGCACACAGAGGCTAGCGAGTGCATGGGGGCCAACGGTGTCTGTCAGCAGCCACAGCCTGCCAGCCCAACTGTAGCACTCTAGGGCTCCGCAGCCCGCTACCAGCAGTTCAGAGAAGCCACCTCTGAGTTCGATGGCCGGCCGACAGCTGAGGAGGTGATGCAGTGGGTTGTGCCCAGGAGAAGGAGAGCATGCAAGGCCAGGAAGGATGGGACGGTGGGGGGAGGGAAACCAGCCGTGCTGGGATGCATCTGGCCATGTGGGACCTCAGTGAGTTAGCAGACGGCTGCTTGAAGAGTGATGGTTGCCATCTCCAGGACATGGTGCGAATGCCCACAGAGAGGGGTCTGAGTGCCGCCTCTGGCACCCATGCCATAGGTTCGCCACCACTGCCCTACTCTATACCTGTACATTTGGTTTTTCTTGCCTAAATGTAGAACCTTCAGTTTGGTTGTCTTCACTATGTTCATCCCCGTTGCTTGGGGTAAGAACTGTGATCTGAGTTTGCCTCCACCCCAATCCATTTTCTTTTCCATTTAAGGCCAAGTAAGATACTGGTAGTTGGGAACTATTTCTGAGGTAAGAGTAGCATAACAAAGCAAGGTAAGATGCAAATGAAGATTCAATCATCCAGTATCTTAAAAGGTTAAACCATGGCAACTGGACCAAAGTTTATTCAAGCCAAGACAAGTTTTGTTTCTCATCCAAGTAACTTCTTCAGTCAAAATGAAAGTGCGAGTACACAGAAAGTCAGATTAGTCATTGGAATGAATCAACTCTTGCCATACAGACTGCAGGAGGTTTCTCTCCAAAATGAAAAGCAACATGTACAGTAAATGAAGATTCAATCATCCAGGCCAAAAGTATCTTAAAAAGATAAGTTATTTACATGTTGCTTTTCATTTTGGGGAGAAACCAAAACTTGTCTCGGTTTGAATAAACTTTGGTCCAGTTGCCATGATTTAACCTTTTAAGAAAGCAAGGTAAGGAAAACTGAAGAGCAGGTGTTTTGTAATGCCTTCCCACCATTTCCTCAGCAGTTACTGTAAGAGGGATCTTAGTAACAAAATGACATGGTGTCTCTGTGTTTGTCTTTACTTTGCATCATATCTGTGTGTTGCATATACACATGAGCTGGGAAGGGCAGGGCAGGCGGGCAACCAAGAGGAAGAAAGGTGGCCTAGATGGGGGTGGGGAAATAGACAATTCTTTTTTATTTTGGGATGGGGGGAAGGGTTGTGTATATGTGACACACCAGCAGAGTCAAGTTAGGCATTTTCTGAATGCTTGACTCTCTCTGCCCTAGACAGATCTAGCACATTTTCGATCTCAACTTCTCTTTTGCAACCTTCTCACAGCATAAGAAAGTTCTGTTCTGTTCTGATTTAGATGTTATACTGTGAATAGACAGAAACACAGAGTACCAAGAACTTTTGTATAATTTTTTTTCCTGGCTGATTCCAGCCCATTTTTAAACACAATCTTTCTTTTGACCGCTTCCCACATACCTAATCAGTCCTACAGATTAGTGGCAGTCTGCAAGAATTTTTGATTTGCTTAACAATGTACAACTACTGTATTTTGCTATAGAAGACAAATGATCCCCATTTCCTTCTGATTCTCAGAACTAATTCCAAGACTCAGAATTTTAAATCTTTAAATTCTATTCTATTCCAGTAAAACAGTAACTATGCATTTCCATGTAAACAACAGAATTTTGAAACTGCTTGCTCTCTCAAAGTTCTTGCTTTTTAAAAAAACAAAACTTTTATTTTTGACAGTGAAATACAACTACTACAATATGAAAAGGGAAAGAAAACAGTAATCATACAGTGAAGACTTTAGATATGTTATGGTGATTAAGATTAAACCCAGCAATAAAAGAAAGTATATATATAATAGTCAGAGATATGGATTAATTTTAACCTAAGTACCTTAGAAATATACTGCTCTTTTCAGAACCAAACACTTTTCAAAAATAGATACTAGGTTCTTATCTCAAATCAAGTCCATAAAATTAGGAAGGTCATTTTTTCTTCTATTTATATAAAATTATTCCCTTGGCTATCGTCCAGGTTCTATGGCACCAAATATTATCTTCTGATGACAAATTCCATGTTTTAGGAATATAGATTATCACACAAAGATCCTTAACAAAAACATTTCTTTCCAAAATTGTAGTATTGCAGCACCAGTGTAATTCAAAATCTAATCACTTACCAATTAATGACTAAATGTGCCTAGCAGCTTTCATGGATGGCAGGAAAGACAAAACACAGGATCCTAAAACCTGCTACGAAGTCTTACACATTCACTCACCAGGTAGGTGCAAAAAGATAAATATTGATACAAATTCTCATTCCAAATTAATACAGCTGTTAAAATAAAAGCCCAATTATATAGTAGTTGAAAATCTGGTACCACTTTACAATGCCTTAGTAAGGCCACACTTGGAATACTGCATCCAGTTTTGGTCACCACGATGTAAAAAAGATGCTGAGACTCTAGAAAGAGTACAGAGAAGAGCAACAAAGATGATTAAGGGACTGGAGGCTAAAACATATAAGGAACGGCTGCTGGAACTGGATATGTTTAGTTTAATGAAGAGAAGGACGAGGGGGGACATGATAGCAGTGTTCCAATATCTCAGGGGCTGCCACAAAGAAGAGGGAGTCAAGCTATTCTCCAAGGCACCTGAAGGCAGGACAAGAAGCAACGGATGGAAACTAACCAAGGAGAGAAGCAACTTAGAACTAAGGAGAAACTTCCTGACAGTTAGAACAATTAACCAGTGGAACAACCTGCCCCCAGAAGCGGTGAATGCGCCAACACTGGAAGTTTTTAAGAAGGGACTGGACAGCCATTTGTCTGAAATGGTATAGGGTTTCCTGCCTGAGCAGGGGGTTGGACTAGATGACCTCCAAGGTCCCTTCCAACTTTATTATTATTATTATTATTATTATTATTATTATTATTATTATTATTATTATTATTATTATTATTATTATTATTACCTCATTTAGGTAAAGAATGTTTAAAGGGTTTTAGTTGACTATAAAAAAACATTCTCATTATTTTTTCCATCTAATGAAGCCTAACCCTGGAATCCCTCTGCAAATACACTTTAATCTTAAGATAAATATATATTAATCATTCACAACATAAAAGTTTTTAACAACATTTTAACAGCATTCATCTTATCCAGAGAATTAATAGAAGCTCTAACTATCAACTGATCAGTATTGCAACAGTATCTATGCATGCCTATGGAAGTTCTCCATGGTTGTCCCAAAGGTGTTTTTCAAAAGGCAAGTGGGTTTTCTTGTCCAGAGAAAAGTCAAAACAAGAAAGTCCAGTTGCCTTTCGAAAAGCACCTTTGGGACAGCATCTATTCTATACAGTTTTAACGTCTGGTGTCAACTCTACAAAGGAGCATGGCTGTAGCCATTTTTCCTACTCATTTTCAGTTGCCACATAGAACGGAAGGAGGGGGGTTGTCCAGGTGCTTCGCTAAATCAAAATAATTGTTTCTTCCATGGGAACCAAGGTCATCGGCTGCTCCAGTGACTGCAGGCTGGGCATTGTATAAAAAGCCCGCCGAGAAGATGTATTGGGGAACGTAGTTGCTTACATAGTTTTAGAGGTGGGATTTTTTTTAACTTTGTATTTGGGAATTGCTACGTGTAT